AGGGAGTGAGCCAGCGGGTGTCACGGGGGACCCTGGGGAAGGGACAGGAACACGAGCAAAGGGCCCAGGTGTCCCTTCGAGCCAAAGGCCACTAGCACGGCCAAAGCACGGGTGGGGAAGGAGGGGCCAAGCTGGACTCCGGCACAGACCGATGCAGGCCAAGCACCAGACTCCCGAGACAGGAGGCGCATCTGCCATCAACAGGTCTCTGCTGTCAGCCCAGAGGAATCAGGCCACGTGAATAGCATGCTCTGGGCCAGAGCGAGGCCACGCCCAGTCAGGGACTGCCTCATCCTCCTCACCACACGTGGAGCCAGTCTGGGCAGAGGAAAGAAATAAACGAAGTTGGTCTTTCCTTAACCCCATGTACAAAGCAAACTCATTCAGGTCCCGGATCTAAACAGGAGCTGAGACTCCAAAGCTCTCTGCGGCCGCCCACTCGACGATGGCTTGTTGGGGTGACGTCAGAAGCTCGGGAGGCAAAAGAAGCCAGACTTCATCAAAGTGTAAAACTTCTGTGTTTGAAAGAGCTGTGCAGAGAAAAGGCAGTCCACAGAGTGGAAGAAAGTCCTCACAAGATGTCTCAGGTAAGGAACTAATAGCCAGAATATATAAAGAACTCCTACCATTCAACAAAGGAATCCCATTCAAAAATCTGCCAAGAGCCTGAAGTGGTGGTGCGTACCTGTAATCCCAGCACACAGCAGGCAGAGGAGGGAACATCAGGGGGTGAAGGTCATCTCTACTCCAGAGCCAGTCTCACAGCAAGTCCAGCACCAGCTGCAGGGTAAATGGCATTATCCACTGCCATCACCCACGACTGCTCAAAGTCTTGTCTACAGGGAGGTGATAAAGCAATGTGAGAGAAGGTTCTAGGGCCAGTGAGATGGCTCAGCACATAAGGGTGCTTGCCACCAAGCCTGCTGGCCTGAGTTTCATCCCCAGGAACCACATGGTAGAAGGAGGGAATCAACTCCTTTCAAGTTATCTTTTAACGTCCACACATGTGCTGTGGCACATGCACGCACGCACGCGCACACACACACAAATAAATGGATGCAATACAAATTATTTTTTTTCTTTTTGAGACAGGGTCTCCCTGTAGCCCCAGCTGTCCTGGAACTCACTATGTAGACCAGGCTGGCCTTGAACGGAGAGATGGCTCAGTGGTTAAAAGCACTGGCTGCTCTTGCAAAGGACCTGTTTCAGATCCCAGCATCTATATGGCACTAACAACTGGTTGTAACTCCAGTTCCAGGGGATCCAATACCCTCTTCTGACCTCTGCAGGCACTGCACGACACAGGTGCACTTACCCACACACAGGCAAGACACGCATACACATAAAAAATAAAAATAATAAAAAATTTTTAAAAGGCAGTGAAAGAGCTGAGAGAAGAGGGTCATGTGACAACAGAGACAGTGATTTGAATGCTGTGGCTATAAGCCAAGGAATGCAGAGGCTGTTGCAGCCACTGGGAGCTGGGAGAGTCCTGGGCCAGAAGCTCCTTGGCGCCTCAGAAGGAGCCAGCCCTACAGGCACCTGACTTTTGGCCTCCAGAGCTCTGAGAGAACACTAGTAAATCTTACACAAACTAAAGTCACAAAGGGAAGGAGGCTTCAGGCTCGCCCTCAGGGGCCTGCCCTGCATGCAGAGGCCTAGGATGAGGAGTCCCCAAAGGTGGGAGACAGGAGGGTCTGCAAAATGAAGACAGGGTAGGAAGGCCTGGGGTATAGCCTCCAGGGTATCCCCAACTCCCTGCCTGTCCCATGGCAGAGGCCCACCCTGTGTGTCCCACTACACAGATCTGACCCCAGCCAGGTGCATGCATCCATACCAGGGTGGCGAGACCCTTCCAGAACCTCAGGTGTGGACTCATGACTGGGTAGTGACTTCCACATTCTGTGCCTGCGACTGCACTGCCCTTCCCCGCCCTCCAGAGGCCCAGCTGAGTGGCACAGCTCCCAATGGAAAGCTTTCTTCTTAGAGATTCTCCGCTAGCTGAAACACAAGCTCTTGGAACAAGATAAAACTGCTTAATTTGTAAAAGCCACAAAGCCAGTCCAGAACAACGAAAAAAGAAACCACGACCGTTGGCTAGAAGCGCAGCATTCCGTGTCTTGAGGCCTGCCCTTGCTCAGTGACTCATGCCAGCCCTACTGAGAAGCCCAAGGCATCTGCCTGGGGGAGTCTCGGAGAGCCACAGAGGGCCCGGGCCTCCATCACAGGCCAGGCGAGAGAAGGGAGGAAGGAGACGTGGATAGGGCAGAGCTACAGACGATCTGAGCCTCCTCCCTGAGAATGGGCAGGCCCTGAGAATGGGCAGGCCCGTGGGCCCAACCAGGGCAGGACCACACCCTCCCACGCCCCCACACTGTCTACTGAAGTGGGGGTTGACAGTGCAGCTGTCACACTGTCTGAGATTGAGACTAAAAGGCATAACCTAGCATTCAGCAAAGCACAAAGGACCCTGTGAACTCAGGACACGCTCAGAAGCCCACTGAAGGGGACGGACTCAGCCTCACTATGCAGATTAGGAAACTGAGGGCAGTCACAAAGTGATCTGCTCAGGGACAGGACATAAGCTTTCTTCCCCAGGGACTGGGGTTAGGCGTCCAGCTACAATTGACCCTGATTAACTGACCAGCGTGAGGAACACACTGGAGGGTCAGCTGGGAATTTTCCTCTCTCTCAGCATGGCCAGTTTACAGCTGAGTTTGGGGCGGGGGGAAATAAGTTGTAAAAAAATACATCCAAATGGAAATTTCATAGAAAATCCCAATTCTGCCTGGCGTGAAGGCCTGTGCTTACATCCCAGTTACACTGGAGGCTGAGGCAGGGCGATCCAGAATTCAAGGTCAGCCTGGGGTACATAAGCAAGACCTTGCCACAAACTAAGAATACATTAAAAGGCTGCTAGGATATAGCTCAGTGGTACAGCATCTGTATGATTGAAGCCCTAGATTCCATTTGTAGTACAGGAAGGAAGGAAGAAAGGAAGGAAGGAAGGAAGGAAGGAAGGAAGGGAGGGAGGGAGGGAGGGAGGGACGGACCAACCTTTGGTCCTGGCACATCGTAAGAGAAGACCCTGCCTGGGGATGTAGCTCATTTTCTGAGTGCTTGCCTAGCATACACAAAGCCCTGGTTCCAACCCCAGCACTACAGAAACCAGCCCAGTGATGGTACAATCTGTAATCTGAACTCAGGAGATGGGGACAGAAGATCAGAAGTTCAGTGTCATCCAGGGTTACATTGTGAGTTCAAAGCCAGCCTAGGCAACATGAGACCCTGCCTCAAAGTAAAAGAAAGGAGAAGATCCCACTTGGTAGGGCACCAGGAAAGGTCGGGTGGCGAAGGCCAGAATCCATGGCTCTCAAAGGCTGCGCTGTTCAGTCTATGAAAAGCTCCTGTCAACCCATGAGGCTTCAAGCCATCGCTCTCAGGTCCCCAGGGAGCTGCCTCCCCTTTGTTCTTACAAATCCCCTGCTATCATCCACCTGGGCTGGGTCCTGTCATCCACAGAATGAGGGCTGGGCTGGGAGTGTGGCTCAGCGGTCAGGCCCTTGCCTGACATTTATGAGGCCCGGGGGTCCCCGACCCAGAGCAGTTACACAAATAAAATCAGGCCAGACATGAAGTTCATGGAGGCCCCTGCCACCCACCCACAAAGCAACTGTCATCTTACAGCTCTGGCAAAGGAGGTGGCAGGCCAGGCTGCCTGCGGGAGGTGGTCTGTTCCAGGCCTAGGAAATGGCTGCTGGTCCCCCATGCCATGGAGCCCCTGACGACTGGGCATAAAGAACTTTGCCTTTGTACCCATCGCTGACAGCCAGCCTTATCACCAAACCTAAGCATAAGCAAGTCTTCCCTCTCAGGACTTCTGCTATGACTATCAGTGCCCTAAGCACACTGGCTCTCAGTGGATACCTGGCTGGTTTCACACAGGCTGGCCTCGAACTCACAGAGATCAGCCTGCCTCTGTCTCCAAGTGCTGGGACTGAAGGCATATGCCACCATACTTAGCCTTTCTGGCTTCATAGGTACCCCAAGCATGCACTCAGAGGCAAACAACAGCCTAGAGTCAATGACTTACGAGTGGCAGTTCGTCTCACTATGACTATGGGACAACCACAAGTCTAGAGTGTGGGTCACATCTCTATGATTCCCCACCCACACTGTTCCCCAGCCCCTGACTCAGAGGTTGCCCAAGGAGGCAGGAAGCAGTCAGAACCTTGGTCACTGATGGTCACAGCATGAACTGAGAAGCTTGGCATGGGGATGGCTTTTAACTGGGGTAACTAAGCAAAAGGAGACTCCTTGCTCTGCCTTGATCTGTTCACTTGCTCGCCGGTCTATACTGGCTCCAAGGGGGCTGCAGGAGTGCATGGTCACATGTATACGCACACATATGCGCATGCACACACGTGCACATACATGCGCATACACACACGTGCACATGAGGGCGCCAAGGGGGCTGCAGGAGTGCATGGTCACATGTATACGCACACATATGCGCATAAACACACGTGCACATGAGGGCTTGTGCATATGTGCACGCCTACTCCTACCACGGGGAGCCGCCACCTCTGTAATCAGCCTCCCGGGAGGCCCAGGGAAGAGACCAGGGCCAGACTTCGGCAGCAACAAAGAAAAACCATACAGTGGACAAGCGAGCTGCCCTGGCGCGGGTGCAGAACCGGTCCCCACCACCCACCTTTCCTGGGTCTCAGAACTCATAGTCGGTCACAGACGCAAAAGTGGTTCGCTGGAAAATGAAAGAAATAGGGAGGGGAGGGGAGAGCCCAGTTTAAATAAAAGCCAGCCTCGGCAGGGCTTACTCGGAAGGCGGCATTCCATCTCACCAACTCAGAGTAGTCCACAGGAAAAGAAACAGCTCTATAAAAGTGCGTAAAAGTGACCTCGGGTGCTCATTTCCCAAAGCATCAATAAAGCCACGAGCTGGGGCCAGGGGGCCGTGGGATGAGGAGGACGTGGCCTACCTGTGATGCGGTCTCTCTCCATTCCTATGGACGTATTTACAGCAGCCAGGCAGGCGGGCAGGATGCCGGTGTCCCCTGTGCAGAGGCGTCCTCCTCCTCTTTCTCACCCAGTTGCCCTCCCTCCTCCGCCTCCTCCTCCTCCTCTTCCTCCTCCTCCTCCTCCTCCTCACACACTCTTTGTCTGGTCTAATTTCTTCAATCTGTTGCAATCACGAACACATCCAAATTACCACATTTCCATGTGTTGGTCATATGTCTCTGCTCCCAACTGAAGTACCATTGTCTCTGCCCCAGGAGGGAGTGGGGAGTGCAAGGACAGGAGCTAAAGAAGGAAGAAGAGGTGGGAGAAGAGGCCAGGGTGGCCTCGACGGGACGGGATGCGGGGTGCTGGGGTCGGCTGTCTCCCTGCGTGCAGACGGGCCGCCTGGCCTCCGGTGGCCACCAGTCCAGCGCGGCTTCCGGCAGCACCTCCCCTCTCCACCCCCTCCAGCCCCCACCGCTGGAGTCTGGCTGCTCCCTTTTAATATCCACTTGGAGATCCTAACTTAGGCTCTTGGAAACCAACTCGCAGAGTCAAATTCCTGGCGACTTCCAAAGTCTTTCATTTTCTTCCCCGTCCAGCGATGCTGCGATTTCCTGGGGTTTTAAAGCTTTAAGAAGCCTAGTTCCTGCCTGTCTGTCTCTCCTTCCTGGCCAGCCCTCAATCCCTGCACCCGACTCGGTTTCGCAGGAGGATGGTCACCTCTCAGAAGCCTGAAAGTAGGTTCCGGATACCTGTCCAGGGCGAACCTTCGAGATCACCCTTGTCCTGTTAGCCTGCAGCGTCAGAGGGAGAGGCCATCTCTCTACCCCAGGCTCCCAAGAGGCTGAGCTGGCTGGAGACTTCCTGGAAGATTCCCACCCCACACACATGAGTCAGTAAGTCTCAGCAGTCCCCTGGGAGGGAGCATGTCCTCCGGCTGTGATTTCCCCAGACTCAGCATGCTCTCTGGGAACACACTAGCCCTGCCTGAGCCCAAGGGTTGTTCACCTGGCCGGGGGATGGGGAGGAACACTCCTGCTTCTGCCTTCCAGTGCTAGGATTACAGACCTGCACCACCCTGCCTGGCTCAGATCCCTTCAAAAGGGGAAAGCACATGGCCACCTGGGGAACCTTTTCTGCCTGGCCCCCCAGCACTGGCCTGAATATTACAGTCCTCCTTAGACAAAATGTACATTGCTCTCCGTGCTTGGTCCCCATGCCCCTTGACACATTTACATTATTTGCCCAGCCCTTGGAGGTCTCTGAGCATGCAGTCCCTGCCTCACAAGGCTAGGATCCTGACTAGCTCAGGGCTAGAGAACACAGCCACCAAGCCTGAGATGCTAATCTTGGTTAACTTGACCCACTTGGGAAGAGGGAACCTCAATTAAGAAATTTCCTATGGGCCAGGCATGATGGCGCACGCCTTTAATCCTAGCACTCAGGAGGCAAGAAAGAGGCAGGTGGATCTCTGTGAGTTCAAGGCCAACCTGGTCTACACAGTGAGTTCCAGGCCAGCTGGGGCTACAGGGAGACCCTGTCTCAAAAACACAGACACTGTCTCAAAAACACCAAAAAGAAAGAAAGAAAGAAAGAAAGAAAGAAAGAAAGAAAGAAAGAAAGAAAGAAAGAAAGAAAGAAAGAAAGAAAGAAATTTCCTCTATCAAACTGACCTGTAGGCTTGTCTGTGGGACATTTTTTTTTTTAATTTTTATTTTTTATTTTTTTGAGACAGTGTCTCCCTATAGCCCCAGCTGGCACGGAACTCCATACATTAAACCAGGTTGGCCTCGGATCTGGTGCTGAGTTCTGGGATTAAAGGCATGTACCACCTCACCTGCCTATGGGGCATTTTCTTGATTGCTAACTGATCTAGGAGGGCCTAGTTCACTGTAGGTGGTGCCATTCCTGGGCAGGTGGGCCTGGGCAGGTGAACATGAGCCTGGGAGCAAGCCACTGATGAGCTTTCCTCCATGGTTTCTGCTTTGAACTCCTATCCTGGCTTCCTTCAATGGTGGACTGTAACTTGGTTTATGAATAAACCCATTCCTCTCCAAGTTGCTTTTGGTCAGAGTATTTGATTGATCATAGCAACAGAAATCAAACTAGAACACTCCCTGTCTGGGACAAGATCCCCCCAGATGCCCTTCCCTAGGCAACAAGGTGCCTTCTTTTGGGAGTAAAGGCAGATCATTTCTGGTCTCCTGGGAGACAGCAAGGAACGGCGTCCCCACCCCTGCCCCCATCCGAGGAGTATGGAGCAGAGCCTCAAAGGGCAATCTGTATCAGAGAGAGTTGGGGACAGAGACTTAGTGGAGGGGGAGCACAGCACCAGAAGGGCTGAAGAATGGTCCGCAAATAACTGACATCCTACTTCCTAGAACCTGTGATTGAGGCCATGTTAGGAACCGGGACTTTTTAAACATGATTAATGAAGGATTGTGAGATGAAGACCTTGTCCTGGACCACCCAGGTGACCCAAAGACAATGGCGGCACCCCTCTAAGAGGGAGAGATGGGGCTGGGAACGTGGCTCAGTTGCTAGAGAGCTTGCCTCGTATCCACAAACCCCTGGGTTCTATCTCCAGCACCACATAAGCCAGGGACAGAGGCACACCTGCCTGCAATCCCAGCCCTGGGAATGTAAAGGCAGGAGGATCAAGAATTCAAGGTCGTATTTGGCTACATAGCAAGTTCAAAGTGAAAACACTGTCAGACCAACCACTCATCACCTTGATGGAAAACAATGAAAATCGTGGTGGGCTGCAGTATTGATTGATTGATTGATTGATTGATTGATTGATTGATGATTGATTGATTGGATAAGGTCTCATCTAGCCCAGGCCTCCAACTCAGTAGACATTAGAAAGTAACCTTGAACTTCTGTTCCCCCTTCTTCCCACCTCCCAAGTGCTGAAATTACAAGCACACACCACGCACGCCTGACTTTATTCTTTTCTGACTCTGAAAAAATATTCCTTGATGGCTTTTCTGGTCATAAATGTGATGTCTGTTCATTCTATTAAATTTAGTAAATAAAGTAAAAATATGAAGAAGAAACCATTCCTCCCACGTGAGGCTCCCCATGCCTAGTATAGGGCAGCGGGTAAGCCAGGAAGACCGGGTGGGGCCTGGGATGGGGAGTGGGCCCAGGCTGGGGCCCTGTGCTTCCAGCAGATGTCAGGCTGTACACGCTGTGGCTAAGCACACTGTGAGCACACCTCAGCTTTTCAAGGTCTGTTTCCCCACCATGCGTAAACTCCATGCATTCTGGCTCAAGTGAAGGAGTAATTTAAAACTAAAACCTGGCAGCGCTGAGAGGCTGGGAAGGAACCCACATTAATCATATGCAGAGGCAACTCGGAGAACGGATACAAGGTAGGCCAAGCCCTCACTTCCAGAACCAAGAAGCCTACTGCCCACAGTGTGTGCTGGCCTGGGGGACAACTCACCAGGCCATCCATACTCCCCCTTTAGAGGAACATAGGGGCTGCAAGGGCCTTACACTCAGGAAGCACTGTGACATACAAGGGCTGACTTGGTCTCATTAACATTTCCAATCTGGCCAAGGTTTGCTGTCTTGTGGAGGCAGGACCTCCGGGGCCACAGCTCTGGGACCTCTGACTATGCCAGGCCACACGCCTCAGCTCCCGCCCCCCAGCCTGCTAGTCAGGGCATCATTACCATCGGCCCCTTCAGTCCACAGGCCAGCATCCCAGGCCACACCCACACTGACCCATACCCATAATCCAAAAGCCCTGGTCATTCTTTGTGCCACCACTATCAGGTTCATAGCGCCTCCAAGCTGAAGAGGGGGCTCAATGGGCACAAACCCACTCGGGGAGGCAGCTGGAAACGGGCAGGGAAGAAAAGCCAAGATGATGTTCTCTCTGGGACACCTGTGTGGCCAGGAGGCGGAACCCACAGGCTTTCTGCCTGCCCTGTTCTGCTTAGCTCAGGGGCCCTACTGTGGAGAGCTGAGTAGCCCTCCCTCACTCTTGGTCTGGACCTGAGAACCTGCTCCTTTTCAGAGGCGCAGATATTACCTCCTCTGGTAGGAAGCCTTCCAGGGTTGTCCCATCCCTCCGCCCTCTCCCAGAATATGACCTGGCCCTCCTACACAGCTCTGCCTCTGGAGCCTTCTTGGTGTGAGTTTTCTTCCTCCTGGGTAGAATGGCAGGCCCCACCCCTACCCCCACTCCATGGAGCCGAAGACTCTGGGGAGGTGGGACCCCCAGAGTCACAAGTCTGAAGAGCTCTGGCTATGCCAGCCCACAATCCTCAGCTCCTGTGCCTCAGTCTGCCCACAGTCAGAGTTGCTCTACCACTGGCTCCTTCCAGCAGCCCACAATTGCCCACACCGACCCACAGAGATGGTTTCATAGAGCATCCAGGAGCTTGGTCCATAACACTTTCCAAATGCACCGAGTGTGCTCAGCTCTGATTCCACTAGTGTGACGCCTGGGCCCCAGCACCTCCATCCCCTTCAGGGGGTCACATCTGCATCACCCAGCACTGTAGTACTGAGGGGGCAGAAAAGCATCAGGTATGGCCCCAGAGAAGAGACCCCAGAGAAGAGGCCCCAGGGAAGGAGGAAAGCAAGCATTCCTCCACGAGGCTGTGACCTGGATTACGGGGAGTTTGTAGGGGGTCGGGGCCAGATTCCTGGTGTGCTCTCTGGGAAAGGTCATGTGAGGAGGTGGGAGGAGGATGACTGATGGAAGGGACACTGCACTGCTCTGCGCTGAGTTCTGCCACCTGCCACGCACCCCTCAAGGCAGGAACTCATGAGTACCCATGCTAAGTACCAAGTTGTGGGGCCCTGTGGATGTTACTTTGGGAGGCTGGAGAGATGGCTCAGTGGTTAAGAGCGCTGACTGCAATTGCAGAGGACCCGGGTTAGATTCCCAGCACCCACATGGCGGTTACGAACCGTCCTTAACTCCAGTTCCAGGGGAATCCGAAGCCCTCTTCTGACCTCTGCGGCACTGCGCGACATGGGTGCACTCATTCACATGCAGGAAATATACTCGTACACATAAAATAATAAATAAAAATTTTTTTTTAAAAAGTTACTTTGGGAGGGGGTGCTGGAGAGATGCTCAGAGGTTATGAGCACTGGCTGCTCTTTCAGAGGACCCAAGTTCAGTTCCCAGCACCCACATGACAGCTAACAACCATCTGTAACTCCAGTTCCAGGGGATCCTGATTGGTTGAGTTCCAGGCCAGTGACAGGCCCTGTCTCAAAAGACAGGTACATGGCACCTCATGATAGCTGAGGTGCATCACACCTCATCAACACACACAAGCAGACATGGACACGTATACCTCCACCCACACAAACACACACACACACACACACACTTCCAAGGTAAGTGGGTGATGCATAACCATCATCACAGCCCTCCAGAGACAGAGGCAGGAGGATGACAGCAAGTTCCAACCCAGATGGGACTACGCAGTGAGTTCTAGGCCAGCAGGGCTACATAGTGAGATTTTATATATAAAAAAGACTTTCCTGTTCATTTTCCACTTGTTTCAGATCAGACCCTTGAAGTCAGCATCCCTGAATTAGAAACAAAAGTGCTCTGGCTGCCGCCCCACGGCAGTTACTGTACCTGCCAACAGAATGGGCAGCCAGAAGAGGCCCTGGGTAGGGCAGTCACTTAGCTTCCAGCCTGAGGCCACAGCATTCCTCTCCACAAACTTCTGATTTTTATTGTCCCTCAAGGCCCACCTTCCTAAATAAATGCAGACCAGCTCCTCTGTGTCCCCCACCCCCCAGAGCTGTGACAAGGGCTTCTGAGCACAACCCCTGAGCCCGCCTCTCTGGGAATCAGTGTGGAAGGAGA